GTGTCAAGAAGAGTGAGCTATAGAGCTAAGTAATTTTTGTGAGAAGCGTGAGTGAAGTAAGAAAGAGTATTTGTAAGAGTTGGTCTTTTCTTTGAGAGTTGTTTGTTGTAATATTTTGTGAGTCTAATATAAGTAAATTGTTTACTTGTTTTGTCTCCAACAAGTCTATATTAGAGTTGTGTATTCTAATTTGCTCAACATTTGGTATCAGAACGGGACGGTCAGTGACTGATTCTGCGGGAGCTTCTTTGAGTCGTGAAGAGTTTGTCTTTACAAGTTTGCATCTTTAGATCAAGCTTGTTTGGTACTACCGGAATTCTACCAACACGATGGGTGATCTTCACGTAGTTGGAGGAATCACGAAGCTCAACGACAAAAATTACAACACATGGGCGACATGTATGGAGTCTTATCTGTAAGGTCAAGATCTTTGGAATGTCGTCGGGGGCAACTATGTTAAACAACCACAAGAAGACAACAATTACACTTTGCGTAAGTGGAAGATCAAAGCAGGCAAAGCCATGTTTGCCCTAAAGACAACAATTGAAGAAGAAATGTTGGGTCGGAAACTTGGACTCATCGAACCAGTCGATGGGACCAGGGACGGATCCAGGAATTTTCCTTCCAGGGGTCAACGTCCCGACGGCTACTTGATATTGATTTCGGAGCTGAGGTACATTCATCTGACCAATGTACCTTGAAAGCATGGGAAATTGAGTTGCAAAGACTTGCCTAGTTTCTAGCTTTACTGAAATTGTAAACAAAAAGAGACGAGAAAAATTAGACAAGGAGGAGATTTTAGAACGCAAGAAACTGATAAACCTAGAAACAAGATCAATTTTTGGAACCAAATGACATAGTTAAAACTTGAAAAAAGAACAGAGCCCAATAATTCATCAAATCTATTGTTCTAGCCATTAGAACACAAAATGGCAGAAAGGTCATCAAATTTAAACAGATTATATACAAAACAATACTAGAAAACACAAATCAATGATTCAGACAATTAATTTAACGAAATGAACTTTAAATTTGAACAAAAACAAAGCCCCAAAAAACCATGTTTATGCCAGAATATTGGCAAAGTATAGTGATTATTCAATTTCCAAATTTCTACATTTCTAAAACCCAGCTAAAAAGATCATAACTTGAAAACAAATTCCCAAGATACGTTTACAATTAATACCCAAATCTGGGAGCTGAAACTGATATGGGGAGGGGAGGTATTGGGCTCTCTGTGTTAAACAGAGTCTGCGCCTTTTTTTTTTTTTTTTTTTTTTTTTAAAA